CGAAGGCCCAGGCGACGGGCGGCGACGGGGCGGCGACGGCGAGAACACTACCGCCAGACCCACCCGCAGGCCCAGACGACGGATAGCGACGACGCGGCGACGAGGCGGCGACGGTGAGGCCATAGCCGCCAGACCGACCCGCGGCCCCGCGCGACGGGCGTCGACGAGGCGGCGGCGGCAAGAACATAGCCGCAAGACCGACGCGAAGGCTCGGACGACGGACGGCGACGAAGCGGCGACTGCGAGAACATAGCCGCCAGATCGACCCGCAGGCCCAGGCGACGGGCGTCGACGAGGCGGCGACCAGGCGGCGGCGGCCAGAACATAGCCGCCAAACCGCCCCGCAGGCCCAGCTCCTTAATTTCACAAGTCAGAGCCCGCAAGTGCAAGCACCGTTTGGAGCAAATACATGGACTGTCGTCAGCGCGGAGCTCCGAAAGTCTATGGCCATGCCGCTTTCGTCTGCGAATCGGAAAGCCTCGATCCTCGAACCACAGAAGCCGCGCTGGACAAGGAAACCAGAATACACCGGAACCGCTACTCCCCGGACCTCTCCCTGGGGCGCGTTCGAACCCGAGTTTCGAAGCGTGCTCGAGCCGCGGCGACGGGGGCCCCGCAGGAGGCCCAAAGAGGCGAGAATGAGGAAAACGTGGCGGCATTGGTGCCGCGCCCTCCTCTGACATATGAGGGAGCCTCGACCCTCGAACCTCGGGCCCCTGTTGGCGGCGCCCACAAGGGCGAGGGCCCGAGGGGAGTGGGCTTCCAAGAAGGGGGGGCTTCGAAAAAAACCCGCCCAGCTTCTGGGAAGCGAAGCGAAGCGAAGCGCGCGAGTCCGCCGGAGCCGGGCCCTTGAGGGTCGGCGCGGGCGGGCCGGGGCCCTTGCATCGCGGTGCCGGATATGTTCATAAAGAAGCCGTCGCATGCGTGATTAATTGCCCCTCCAATCTGTGCCACGCACAAGTGTCGCAAGCAAGCTGCAACCACCATCGGCAACCAGCGTCGTCGGATGCCCTTGTGTCGTCCACCAGTTTGTGCGACGTCAAAAAGCTGGCGATAGCATGATCCCATCTTTTCCGCTGTCCTCCGTGCTTCCTCTGCGCAGGTCGTTTGTCATGCACTGGGGGTTCCCAGACGGCGGCGCGTCGTGACCAGCGGTCGGTAGATTGATTTGAAATGATTTGCTACGCGGCAAGCCCACCGCCACTTCCCCTCGAAATAAACTGTTGCCCAAGATTCGATTTGAGCTCGTTCGGCGTGGGCGCCAGCTGCGCGCGTTGCTCTCCGGGCGAAGTCGATCCAAGATTCCGTGGTGCAGACGTCAGATGTGCTACCGTTGTCGCTGTCGCCGTGGACTTGGATGCTGTCGTCGAAGTCGCTCTCAGGCGTTGTGGTCTCTAGATTCGTTTTCTCCACGTGCTCGGAATTGCTGGCCTGATGGTTCGTTCGGTCGTCGTTCTCAGGGGGGCTTTTCGTGCGCCTCCTGCTGGTGCCAACTATTATTATGATCATATTGCGTTGTGTCCGCTATAGTGGAATGAGCATGTCTTTAATAAGAACCCACGAAGTGCATCCGTACGTGACAGCAGGCGTCACAGTCCCGTTGAAAAGTCGTAAGCGGCTAGCAAGAGGGTAGTGCGTGCAAGCCAATTCGCGCCCCAGCTGGTTGAACTTGCGCCATCCAGAAGCAACTCTACAGTTGAACTCCTGTTCGTGGAAGCCGTGAAACGTGAGTGCTCTGCCTAAGTACCTCGTGCTCTGCTCCGCTTCCAAGATCTCAACATTGCCCCCGTCGATGGTGGCAACTTGAATTGTTCTGCCCTGGCGCCGGGTGACATTCGTAAGTATGTTGGTCCTGTCTGGGTGTAGTTCCAGGCCGCATTGGGACGACTGGTTCTTCAAGTCGCAAAGTAAGCATTTCAGTTGGCGTAGGTCCGACGCATACAATAAAATATCGTCTGCAAATCGAAGATTGGTAATGGTTGAGTCTGTGGCAAGCCCCATTTGTATGCCGAACTTCCGCTTGGACCATGACCGTTTCAGGCGTCGGAAGATATGTTCAAGGAGCGCGTTGAACAAAAGTGAGCTGAGCGGGTCCCCTTGCTTCACGCCTCTCTCAATGTTGAACTCGGTGCTCGTAGTGTCTGTGCGAACTCTTGCAGTTTGATTGACGTAGAACTTCTGTAGGAGTTCGACGTAAGATGAAGGTATATGCTGGTCTACCAGAGCCTGCCATAGTGAATCATGGCTGACACAGTCAAGTGCTTTCTTGAAGTCCACAGCTGCCGCCCAGAGAGGTAGTTGCCATTCTTCCGACTGGTTGTGAAGCATGCTTGTGGTAAAAAGGTGGTCTTCGGTGCTGTAGCCATGTCGGAAAACTGCTTGGTCGACGCTGTGTTGGCCGTCTAGTACAGGGCTTAGACGATTGTACACGAGTCGGGACATCAACTTGTACAGGAGAGGGATGATCGCGATTGGTCTATAGTTCTGCGGTAGCTTGGGGTCCCCAGATTTGTAAATTACGCTTATGGTAGTACATCTCCATTGCTCTGGTGGGCAACAATCTGGTTGCATGATGTCAGTGAACAAACATTGAAGGCGCTGCTCTATGCACGTCCCGCCGGCCTTCAACATTTCTGCTGTGATCCCCGCCGTGTTCTTGCATTTGTCATTTTTGAGTTGCTTGATTGCTTGGTGTACGTCTTCTTGTGCGAAGGGTGGTATGGGGTCGTGGGCTACGTCGGTGTCAGCGTTCCTGCGGGGCGTGTCGGTGTCTCGTGTCGCACGCTCGTTGTGGGAAACGTTACGTCGGTAGAGCTGCTCGTAGAATGTGGCGAAGATGTCGGCGATGCTTTGTCGATCGGTCACGTCGTTGCCATCGCGCCCCGTCATCGACGGGATCATGTCTTTGTGTTTGGTCGTTTTGGTGCTCGCTAGCTTACTTTCTGAGGCCCTTGAAGCTGCAGGTGATGTCCTTGATCTTCTCCTGCCGCCGGGCCCGTTTCAATGACCGTAGCTTCTTGTATATGTGTTTGCTAATCGTCTTGCGGGTCACGGTGTCCTCGTGTGGTGTGCTGCGTCGTTGAGCTATGAGGTCACGGAGTTTTTGGCTCTGCTCGGTTTCGGAGTCACGGTGGTGATTGCTATCGGCATGGGCGTGCTGGGCCTCATAGGCTGCACTTGCAGCTATCAATGCTCGTTCGGTGTCTGTGCATCTCTCGCTTACTGCTGAATCTTGCAAGCGTGCTTGCAACGATTATGTTAAGTGCTGCTGGAAATGTTGATTGTTAGCCGGTGGTCGCCCTGCCGGTATTGTCTTCGGTTTCTTCCGTTTCCGCCGTTGCTTCACGGACGAAGCAGACAAGTCGAGTCGCAAATGAACAGCCTGATGGTCGGAGCCTAAATCTGGGCACGGGGACACGTGAGCATCAAGAACTATGGAGCGGAATGCGCAGTCGATGAGGACGTAGTGAATTTGTGAGCGTGTTCTGCCCGAGCTGCTGCTAGTGTATGTAAAGACATGCTGTGGGTGCTTGTAAAAGTGCGTGTTCGTGATCATCAGCTTCTCCTTGTTTGCCCATGCTCGTAACCATGTTCCTCTGGCGTTGCACGTCCCCGTTCCAAATTTGCCAACCATTTTGCCAGGCGTGACGCGTTCGTCGTCGTTACCCGTCTCGCCGCTGATGCTCTGAACCCCAACTTGCGCATTGAAATCGCCTGCCAATATTGTCATCATTCGCCGCTGGGTTGCCTCTTTATGGAGAACGGCAAGGATGTCGTATACCTGCTGCACGTGCGTGTCGCCATAACCTCCGTGGGGAAAATACGCCGCGATGATCCTTATGGAGTGTTCTGGTAAGTCCATGTAAGCGATCCTCTCGTTGATGGCCGTGAAACTATGGATGGATCGGGCATGCCGGCTATGCAACATAATCGCCACTCCTCGTGAATGTTGATCATGTCCTGCAGCTGCGAATGTGTTTTCCACGTGATGTGGTCCACATTTGTTTCTTTGCCGTTCTCCATTTTTCGTTGATGGCGATCACATCCCAACTTATGTTGACTATCTCGTGCAAAAGCGTGTCAATGTCGTCATCTGTTGTCAGGCTCCTGGCATTCTTGTGTACGAGTGTGAACTGGGTTTTAGCTGGGGTTGAAGATTGGAGGTCGTTACTTGGGCATGGGAGGTTGGAGCTGGACGGTTGCGCGTGCGTCGCGCGATTTGGAGGTGGCACCTTCGAGGTGGGAGCCGGCGTCGAAGATGTGATTATCTGCCTCCGCGTGGTGGTCGAGGCTGGAGAAGACGGAATAGCCAGAATGGCTGGCGTAGTCTGTTGTCGCAGGATGCACAGTGGAACGTCGCCGGACACGGTGTTGTAGACTCGTCGTCCTCCTCCTCTTCCTGCTTCGGGCTGTGAAAATCGAAATCTGGAGGTGGAGGGTGATGTGGAGGTGGAGGTGGAAAGCCGGATGGTGGAGGTCTGAGGTCGAAGTACTGGGCTGGTGGAGGCCTCCGAGGCCTTGTCAGAAGGCCCCTGCCTTCTAAAAAGCCCCTCTGCCATTTGATACAAAAAATCACCCCTCGTGCCAGCACCTTGTGTGCGTCGCCAATCGTTCCTGGAACCTGACAATGACATTTCTCTGGATGGGGCAATACATACCCCCCCCCCCTCGCGGATCCGCGGGGGGGGGGGGCACGTGCGGTCGGAACGGGTGGGGTGGGTTGGAGAGGAGCGAGGAGGAGGAATGATGAGGAGTAGGAGGAGAGAGGAGTTGGGTACCCTGAGGGGTAGGAGGAGAAGGGGAGGGGAAAGAGGAGGAGGAGGAGGAGGAGGAGGAGGGGAAGGAGGAGGAGGAGGAGGACGAGGAGAGGGGGAGATGGGCAAGCTCCGTCGCAAGGTCGACCACTCCCCCATTTTGATAATTATCACATCCATCGTAGAGAGCCTCGATCCTCGAACCTCGGGCCCCCGGCCGGAGAGCCCGCCCACAAAGCGGCGCGCCTGTGGGGGAGGCGAGCGGCGCACCGGCAGCGAAGTGGTCGGGCAGGTCGGCGTTGCCCTGCCGTGGGGGGGCCCTCCTCCTCCTCCTCCTCCTCCTCCTCCTCCTCCTCCTCCTGCTCCTCCTACACCTGCTTCTGCTCCTCCTGCACCTGCTCCTGCTTTTGCTCCTGTTCCTTCTCCTCCTCCTCCTCTTCCTCCTCCTCCTCCTCCTCCTCCTCTTCCTCCTCCTCCTCCTCCTCCTCCTCCTCCTCCCGCTTCTGCGCCTGCTTCGCGGGATGAGGGAGGAAGGCGGAGGAAAGCAAGGCTTCGCGGGCCACTTCCATGGCCTCCAGGGAGGTCCAGCGGAGCCGAGGGCAACGCGCA